ACGAAAAAGTGAAAATAAAACGACAAAAATAATATGCGCACTGTCTATTTTTTATGAATTCCATTAACCGATCTTTTCGATTGAAGCGTAGCTCTCTACGGCGGCTTAGTTCCAATAGTTTGTGTTCTTCTACGTCGAAAGAACAAATTCATATTTCAGTTCACTTTAACGCCATCTCGCTAGATGGTTTAATTGACAAAGAACGAACGCGTAATAATTGAGGGCTCTTCAATATGATGAGTAAGTTAATGTTTTATAATCTGTGATATTTAAAGTCTGGGATATTTATGGTCTGGGATATTACTCTTACACTGCACGATTTGGTTGCGTGTAGGTTTATTCTCAATTTATAAACAACCATTTGGTTGCGCAATACCTTAAACAGCTGTAATTTGAGGGTGAAGATAAGTATATATACAAATATAAGGATATAAGTAAATGAAGGAAGCAATCGCTTCCTTCTTTATAGGTAAATTCGTATGTTGATGTATACAGCAAAAATAAAATGATATATATTAAAATTCAAAGTTCACTTTTACAATTCAAAGTTCTCCTAAGAAAGGAAAGTATGAAACACACATGCGTTTGCATATATTACAAGCAACTAAGAGGTGAGATGTCTTACTTATCATATAATATATTAAAATAACTATCTGTCGCTGAAAAATAGCCCTACCTTTTCTTAAGCTAAGCTTCTCTGCCCATCTGTCCATCTTGTATTCTTTTGTCGCATTTGGGTTCACGATGCGCCATGGAAATGTTGCGTTAAGCGCTTCCTCTGCTATATCCGTCTTGTATTCTTCCCAATTCGCAATTTTTCAGATATTTTAACGAAATTTGGTACACTGACATTTTTTGGTCCGAGGACCAACACCAATCAAAATATTTCGAATCGGACAATTTTTTCGAAAACTTTCCGAATAAGGCCTTACTTTAAAAAGCAGTCATATGAATAACTGTACTAAACGAAGTGGTGTAGGGAATTTAATGGTGGGCTGCGGCCCACTCCAATGTTTTCACTTGTCTTTAAATTGCAGTGCATAAATAAGTTCCAATTAAGCTTTTTTTTTTTCAATTTTCTTTTGTCACATAGCTGCGCTTTATAGCTGTCGTCTCTAATATTATAATTCCTCTTAAGTCATAATCAAAGCAAAAGAAAAACAGTGTAAATTATTCAACAAATACTTTCTGATCATTTAGTATTCATTTCATTTCCATTAGCAAAAAAAAAATTAAACGCATTTAACTTTTGTTTATTTATCCTAAAATAAACATGTAAGCAGCTTTACTAAAGCCCTTTAGTTTACATCTGTCTACATGTTATTATTTAAATTCATTTTATGGATAAAGTTTTAATCGCTTAGATTTTCCTAAAATTGTAGTCAACTTTAATTAAAAAGAAAAAGAGAAAAACAAAATCTTTTTCACAAAATTTTAAAATATTTAAATAAAATTGTTGCATCCACAACATGAACGACAGAATTTCCATTTGTACAAAAAAGTTTTCGAAAAACGCATGAATTTCTCATTAGCTGAGACTGAATTTATGCTTATGTGTTTCACTTGTGCGAAAAGTAAGGCAATAAAAAAACGAAAAGAACTCTGTATACCCATCACCGTTATTCTAACAAAGGCAAAAAAGTAAAAAAAACTAAATTTTCATATTCTATAATATGCAGTGAGCGCGGCTGATTTATTCTATTTTCAAAATAAAAGCTTTTGTTGCATAGGGCGTTGCAGGCATGTCCTTAGAAATGTTTGGATCACTTTTAAAGTCTTTTTCAAATTCGTAGACGATATCTTCATTTTTTCTAGCGGGAGAATATTTAGCATAAGTAGTAGACAATTACGCGTATAGACAAACCGACAGACGGACATGTTTAGGTGTATTCCAAGTTTGAAACTGGCCAAGAATTTATATTCCTTATGGGGGTTTTTTTAAGTTTGTTTCTGCACCTAGGAAAAAAACTTAAATTTTGATACACTATAATATTGGGTAGGCGTGGTCAATTTTTCCGCAGGTATTTCCAAAAGGTCCTTAGTTTCGGTGCTGAATTAACAGTCGCCAAGATAGTTTTGTACGTTATTTGTTATGTGCGTCGACTACCGTCTTCGAAACGGGCCATAGTATAACTGGATAGGCTTAACATTATTAAAGGCACGTAACTCTAATGCACTACCAACTAGTGGAGCATAAGACAGAGGCGACGCTAATGAGCAGCGGAAAGTATGTGGAAACATATGAATACGAGTTAGGTAACATACTATGCAGTCATCACCTGCTCTCAACTAGCCATGCCAATCGATATTTCGACAGCTGAAATTAGTCGCAACAACGACCGCTCACAGAAAGTCATGGAAAAGGAGGCGCGGCTAGTGTCGATGACCATAATCACATTGTGAAAGAGCAACAAAAGCAACATGTATGCTTGCTCTTGGAGATGGACCGGAAGATCGCATGGGAAGGGGAATTATTACCTCACCCAGTTTCAAAACGGTTACGGCTCTTCCCGGAGTTATCTGTACTGATTCGCTCGTCAAATTGCCCCGATAGATATGCGGGACAGATATTTCACTCACCTCAACTAGAACCTAGTAAGATATTGTAGGTGATAACTTGCAGTAACGAAGCCTGGAGCATCATTGACGAGCTCATAACGAATAAGCTCCAAGAACTAAGGCGCTTAAAAAGACAACGGCTGGAGAGAAGAGGGAGTGGAAGCCAATAGTGTATTTCACTAGGATTCCACCATATGAAGCCTCACTGAAGTAATATTTAACGCACTGATCCCGCGGAGGAGTGTCGTCGGAGTAAATTGTGTGCGTGTGGGTGGTTTTAGTACGTAGGCGTACGTCATTGATGGCGAAGCGTGCATGCTGCTGGTGCTGGCCCGTAGTGCCTTTTAAAGATTACTACCTCCATTTCCTTGTCGTTCTGTGCGTTTCGTTAAATTTCACGAAACTCCCGTTGTACGCATTTGTGCTTTTGTTGAACTTCACGCAATGCCCGTGAATTCTCATTTCGTCTCAAAGAAATAAGCTCTACATTCCCCTTTTTCGAATTTCATCCGATTGCGGCAAGTAATGTGTTAAAGTCACCCAAGAGGAAAAAGCTCATGATTTCGTTCCTTGGTCCAATAGATTTACATAAAAATGGTTGGAAAGTTTGCAAAAGGAATGGAACACAGAATTTGAACCTAAGATAAGCGGAAATACTACTAACAACTGTAATGGATGATAGTTTTCGGTAAACAAATAACGTAAATTGCTTCGATTAAAAGCGAATACTGATGATTAATATAATTAAAGAGAAGTTTTCATGGAAGATCAATACATTTGAAAGGTTTTGTTAAATATCTAGATTGCTTCCGGACATCTCCTAGCTGCGATAATTGCAATGTTGGGTAAGAAGCCTTACAAATGTAATAAACGGACGGGCCGACAGATAAACCGATATGACTCAAGCGAGTGAGGACTAAGAGCTGCTTTAACCTGATCAACTTCTGCTGTGATATGTATAGAGAGCTCTTTTGAAGAGCATAGAATACGGAAATTAAAATTTGAAGATAAAAGTTGAATGTAAGAGTGTGCGCTGCTCAAGTGTATTACTGAAAAAGAGTCGTCTTAATATCTGTTATAATTCGAAAACTACAATCCCAAATAAATTATTTTACAATGCTTCTAAATGGTTATCATTATATTACAAGTAATTGTTGATTTAACAAAATTATTTAATTTTTATACCCTACCCTACTTAAGGTATAAGGCATGTTAAGGCATCGCAAGGATGTACGCAACGCCCAGAAGAACTTGAGATTGACTGACTTTTTATTATAACAATTCATTCAAATTCGCTTTCCAAAGGTATCTCTAAGCTTGCCTGTCCGTCTGTCCGTCCGTCCGTATTGCTTTCTTGTGTGTTGAACCTACTGGAAGAATTTTTGAGATACTTTAATGAAATTTGCTGCACTGAGCTGTTTTTACGCAAGGACGAACACTATCGAAAATGGTTTGGATCGGATCACTTTTTCGATCACATTCTATGTATCACTTTATCTTGAAAAGTCGTTATATATGAATAACTGTATTAAGCCAAATAGCGTAGGTTATTTAATGGTGAGGCCCAGTATTGCTTTGTTTTTGAATGAAAAAAAAAATCATTTAAGTAATTAAAGGATTGGGATTACGGAACAAAAATGAAATATTTTTTTTCAAAAAAAAAAGTATTTTTGTTTATTTTCCGATATTTAATAAATTATGAATGGCAACGATAATGACGATGATGATTGCAGAATAATTATCTATCAATCTATTGTGAAAATTTTGTGTGTGTCGCGAGGATTATACTGACAATGTTGAATAATAATATATTTAATGATACAGTTACGCGCCAAGTCAAAGCATTTCCAGCATTTAACTGCATAGGATTTTAATGTTTTTTTTTTTTTTAAATCATTTTTTTCTGTTTTTCTTTTTTTATGTTTTGTTGTTTACTTTGTTTTGTAATCATTTATTACTATTAACAATGTTCGTTTAAAGTCTCTGTAAAGAGCATGTTTTCATAGCAGTTTGCATATTAGCTTATAAAAGGGGAAAAAACACATGATCCATATACACGTAACATCATATATATATATATATAGTCATACATATAAATACGTACACATTCAGAATACACAAAAGAGGCCAAATAATAAATACCGTAAGTTTTTTTTTTTTTTTTTGTTATTTTAGTTTGTTTTTGCTTTTTTTTTTTGTTTTTACAGTTAATTTTCAAATAGTGCTTACATATAACTTTCAGTTTGTTTTCCGTTGTTTTGTTTTTTTTTTTTTTGTTTTGCTTTGTTTGAAGTGAAATTTTCATTTATGTAAATAATATGGTGGTGATGTTGGTTTTTGTTATGCATTTTTCTTTTTGTTTCTTTTTTTGCGAGAGTGTAAAAATTTTTTGATATTTGTTATATAATTTGTATAATTTTCCTTTTGTTTGGTAGGCGTTAACTTTTTTGTTGATATTTTTATCTCTCTTATTATTATTATTTATTAAATGCTTAAATTTATAGCTAATAGTTTTTAGGATAAAGTTTTGATGATGTTTCTCGTTCGCTTTCTTCTTGTATTTTTTACATCTCGTATCGTATATATCGTATGTATAATATGTTTATATAATAGCTTAAGGTTTACATAAAGTGCTACCTCGTTATAAACGCATAACTGTTCATTAATATCATTGCTGTAGTATAGAATAAAGAAAAGCGTTCTATTCTTAGTTGCAATAAAGATATGTAAGCATAAGTAGGAGAGTTGGCGGCATTGCACGCATCAGCGTCACTACAACTTTGCAGGCAACCATGTACGTATCTGTAAATGAAAGGGAAAAACGTTAACTCTCTCATCATATTCATTATGCATAATTACTACTCTACCGTTCTATCAAATATTTGATGGAAGATAATTTACCTGTCATCATAGTAAAATTTGCCACAGTGCGACATGCGTATAATTTCGGTATCTGTGGTTAAGGTGCCGCTGTCTAAAGCACAGCCTCTTACGGTTATCGTTTCGCCAGTATCGTCTGTTCAAGCATGAAGGAAAATCAAATACATAGTTAACTAAATAGACAAACAATAGTTAAGTCTGTTGATTACATCGACAGTTAATTTGCATTCACTACAATGGATCGCCGCAAAATTAAACAGCGATAAATAAACTAAAAGACAAGTCATCGCATTTGTGTCTGTTTGCATTGCATTGCCAATGTCTCGTATCGGATAATTTGATGTACCAACAATCATTCCATTTGCAATGAAATGTCTTTGAAGATATGCCTGGTATGCATACATATGTAATTACTTTCCGATTTTCTATATAATCGATAAATTAATTTAATTGTATTCGCATGACTGACTAAAAGCGATTTGTGATTTTAATGCTCGATTACACTTTCAGCGCTAGAGGTATTACCTTCAATACCTTATATGATCATAATATTGAGTTTCAGATCCCATAGATGACAACAAATTTTATTCTTTTACCTTTTTTTAGCCTTTACCGAGCAAACTCATAGCGAAAAAGCTTAGACGTTTTTATATCCTAAACCATTTATAGTAAAAGGGTATAGTAAGTACATACGGATGTGTGCATGGACGTGCCTCCCATTATATCGATTCGATTCGATGACGTCAGCTTATCTGCCCGTCTGTCTATCGGTCGGTCTTATTTACTTGTGTTCAACGGACGCTATTGAAAATGGTTCGGCTCGGATTGTGAAGCCATATAAGTGTAGGATGGACATAGGGTATTTGATACTGAGCCGTGGTCCAGTATAGTGCTTTCGGTTGCCACTTATCCAAAAAGTCTATGAAAGTAAGGTCGTTGTAGATAGCAAGAAAAATTTAAGCCGTGAAAATACTTGGTCTGGGTTTTGGTGCTTATCTGTAATAATTTAAAAAAAGAATGCTCGCTCGTTGACTGCTATCGAAGAAAGTACTTAATGATCCTAAGCATCACAATAGCAAGCGGAAATTTCGCACGGCAGAAACGCTAAGTTTTGAAAGTATTGTGTGCGGCTTTGGCTTCGCGTAACAAAAGGCTCAGTCAACTTAAATCGGCTAAAATTCAAACCTAAAATTTCATCATAATTACTATTGCGAAGTTTTTTACCCTTGATAAAGCTCTCTGCGGCATAACTTAACCACCAGTTCAACCAAACTGTATACATTTTTTTTTGCGCTGAAAATAGCAACAAAAGCAAATAATTGAAAGTTCCTAAAGACACTTGATAGACACTTGAAAACTCTTTTTCCATTCTAATTAGTACGATTAAAAGATGAATTTTCTGAAGTCAGCTCAAGTATTTGGTGAGAAAACTAAGTCATTGTTTATATAAAAACACATTGAACAACCAGAACTTGTTGTTAGGAACTGTAACGATGAAATTAACAATGAATTGCACAAACAAATCACATTACTTACAGAGTATACAAGATGAAGGCCGAAAAAACTGTCGACTTCTATTTGAGATTGAATTGAATGTAATCGTGACTTGTAACAAAACGCGCATTGTGTTAAAAAAGAAAGCTCTTGAATGAAAACCGATGCAAAATGTCTTACAGTGTGTGCAGACGCATGTATCGTAATGAAAACTTATTTTTAATCTTTTGTCCGGTTTATTAGAGAAATCGAACAAAAGCCTTCTTATATACTAGAATCGAGAAATCCGAAACATTCGGATTTTCAACGCGATCAATGAAAACAGTTTGAGAAACCATGTCAACACTTAAAAAACAAATTAGGAACTTTTTTCTCTCACAGGACTACGGCACAAGCTAATGGATAAGGCTCATGACTACCAATAGCGCTGATCGTGGGTTATAGACCGTACATTACTATAAGTACATTATATATTTATTTGGACTTCTGCTAGTTTTGAATATTCCAAGCCTAAGATATTGTATTTACTTTACCCCCTACGCACTTGCCGATGCTAAGAAGAAAGAAACGACGACCGATATCACAGACTTAGGTGCACATATTAGGACTTTAAGCCGAAAAACGTGCTAAGAATTTTTTACTTTGTAAATGGAACTGTTAAGTTTCCCGTTTTGCTCCGCAAAACGGTTCTGTTAAATTTATTTTGTTTTTGAGTAATGAATTTCTCTTGAATTATGTAAACCAAGCCTTAAGAGCTTTGCTTAATAATAATCTATACATATTGTTACGGAAATCCCAAATCTAGTCATTTTCTACAACCAAATGTACATTCGCGAGGCGTCATGTAGCTGCAGACCGACGGAAGCGATTAGTGGAAAAGCAGACAGGTAGAAGCAAAGTGCATATTCGCAGCCGCGTCATGCAGCTGCAGACAGATGAAAACGGTTACCAACAAAAGCAGGTTAACGAATTAAAAATCAAGTCATAAAATTAGGTGCTAGTAATATGGTGGCAAAAATGTATATAAATAGAATATTTGTGAAAGACAATAGAGTAGAAAAAGAATATTTGAGTTAAGCAGTCGAAAGCATTGCCAAAAATAATTTGTAAATAATCCCACATTTAAGTAAATATAATTGTAAATAAAAGAACTTTGCAGTGTATTTCTCTTGAATAAAATATCCGCGATCCAGTGATACGGACTGTATCTTGAAAAAGCGAATTTCATAACAACTGGTGTCAGAAGTGAGATCGTGGAAACCAAGAGAAATGGTTGCCGGCGGTACGGATTGAAATGATTCAATGTGGGTACTGGCAGGTTGAAGTCGCCGAACATGACAAGGAAAAGACCGCATTTTCCGCTGGCGACGGCTTATATCAGTTTACCGTAATGCCTTTGGGATTATGTAATGCGCCTGCAACATTTCAGCGCCTAATGGACTGCGTGCTGAAAGGGCTGCACTAGAAGGCATGCCTAGTGTACGTGGATGACATTATTGTCATGGGTAAAGATTTCAAGGATCGGCTTTTCACCGATTGCAGACAGCAGGGTTAAAATTGGGTATCGAAAAATGTGTGTTCTTTGGGAAGGAAGTGACATATCTTGAGCACAAGGTCTCCACGACTGGAATTCATACGGATGAAGAGAAAATTCGAGCAGTAAAAGATTGGCCACGATCAAACAATTTGCACGAACTTCGCAGTTTCCTAGGACTATCTACATACTACCGGAGATTCGTCCCCAGGTTCGCCACGGTTGCTAGTGGACTGCATGACCTTACGAAGAAAAATCAATCCTTTACATGGGGTGAGTCCCAAGAGCACGCCTTCACGCAGTTAAAAGAGCTGTTATGCGCAGCACCCATTTTAGCTTATCCAGAACCAGGAGAAAAATTTATACTGGATACCGATGCAAGCGCAGAAGGCTTGAAGTGTGCTCTCCCAGCAAATTGACGGTAACGAAAAGGTCATACCATATTACAGCAAGCACCTACCTAAATCTGAGAGGAATTACTGTGTCACGCGACGAAAAGTGCTGGCAATGACGCAATCTGTCAAGCACTTCCATAAATATCTGTATGAGCGCCCTCGCGGCTTACTTTTCGGGCCTTTCGATTCGCTGCACTGATTGCAGCTGCGAATCCATGAAGCTACGGAGTCCTTGATGATTTACTACATATTCGGCTTTCTGGTATTGTGCTATAATGTCCCCTTTGTGAGATTATGTTGTAACGCTGGTTGGGTTTAATAGCCGTACTGCTATTAAATTGATGACCGGTGATACAACCGCTTTTCCAATGATGATGTTGCCTTTCCTACATTCTTTACTCGGCTCGACAACCCATATCTTGTTTAGCCTTAGCTCCTCAGTAACTGCAGCCCACTCTATTGCTTCGGAGTTTGAAGGGATCTTCTGTTGTCGTTGTACTACAACTTGTAACACTTCGGCTTGTCTGTCGTATCCTACAGTCAACGGCAAATTCACATTAGCGTATTGTAACACTTGCCTTTTCATATCCAGTACGAAGCCATGTTTTGCCATAAAATCCATCCCCAATATAACCTCGTCCATTATATCAGCCACCAGAAATTCATGCTTCATCGAAACATCGCTGATCGAAATGTTTCTCATAATTTTACCTTTAATAGCAGCTTCTTCACCAGTTGCCGTTCGGAATCGTGCTCCCACTAACGGGTCAAACTTTTCTTTGACGATTGTAATGTTGATAATTGATAATGCGAAGCACCAGTGTCCAGCGTGATGATGTGGTTACAGCCTTGGATCTTCCCAACGATCGTTAGGCTGCTATTACTTCTTTTTGCTTCAGCAATAACGACCAAAGGGCTATTAAATTTGTGAGTTAGCCGTTGCCCCCCCTGTGCTGACTCTTTTTAGTTTAACGCTTGTTTGTTGGATATTTCACCGACACCTTCACTAAAATTCCGTGTAGGTGACGTGGAGTGTGTTCTTTTGTGCTTTGATGGGCGTTCCCGTGCAAGATGCCCAGGTTTTTGGAAGACATAACACTTGCGTGTTTTTGAACCCGACACTTGCTTATTTCCGCGCAGGACTTGTCGAAACGCCGCGCAGAGCACATCCAAATTATCGCTCTCGCTGGTAACTTTCATGCGGCTCACCTTCATGCTTGACGTCCCTAGCACACTAGCTGCTTCTTGTGTAGGTGCGAAGCCAAGCGTTGCCATAAATGTCGTTTTAGATCACGCCCATATAGTTTTTTTAAGCTCCTCGTCACGAAGTCCTCTAAGAAAGGCGTCGATTGTCAATCGTTCCAGCATGTCGTTGGGCACAGCGATATAAGCGAGATTGGCCAGGCGTTCGATTTCGGTAACGTAATCTTGGATCCTTTTGTTCAGTTTCTGACAGCGCGAAGACAACTCTAGACGGCTTACCTCCTTCACATGTTTGCTACCATATTTCCTTTCCAATGCATCCATAATATCCGCGAATTCCGTTCTTTTTCCTTCCGGGATTATCTGGATAATTTCCACTGCTGCTCCTCTTAAGGAAGTTACTAAGACGACTGTTTTATCGTCATCATCGCACATATATATTGTTCCAACAATACCAAATTGTAGCTTGAATGCGTGGAAGTTAGTGGTACCGTCAAATAGGGGTGTTTTTACTTTGATAAAGCTGGGGGTTATGTCGTTAGTTCGTAGCTTAGCCACTTCTTTTTTTAAGGCTTTTATTTCCTTTTTGAAGGCGTGTGCATTCTCTTCCTGCGCATTTATTCTGGCAACCAATTGCTCGTGTGTTTCGTCTACATGTGTTCGCAGGATGCGTTGATTTTCCTGTATTTTCTCGTCAATTTTCGATTCTATCTGTTTCGTTTGTTGTTGCATTTGTTCCGTTTGTTGTTGCGTTTGTTGTTGCGTTTGTTGTTGATTTTCCTGTATTTTCCCGTCAATTTTTGATTGTATCTGTTTTGTTTGTTGTTGCATTTGTTCCGTTTGTTGTTGCGCTTGTTGTTGTGCTTGTTGTTGCAGTTGTTGTAAAAACTGCATAATGTTTGATATACTTGCACTATCTTCGCCTTTTTCTTCGCTCTGTTTTGTAGCTCCATTTTCTGTTCCTCCCAAGTTGTCGGCTTGATACCTTCTCTCGATATTATATTCGAATTCAAGTATCGACGGGTCCTGTCCGTTCTTCTCTAGCTGTTCGACCAGTCTTTGTTTTAATTCAGCTGTGGTACCGTTTGTACGAAGGTTTCTTTTTCTCAGCTCCAATTTGAGCTGATCCACTTTGAGTTCTTCTAATTTCACCATTTCTCTTGGTTTCCACGATCTCACTTCTGACACCAGTTGCAAGATACAGTACGCATCACTGGATCGCGGATATTTTATTCAAGAGAAATACACTGCAAAGTTCTTTTATTTACAATTATATTTACTTAAATATGGGATTATTTACAAATTATTTTTGGCAATGCTTTCGACTGCTTAACTCAAATATTCTTTTTCTACTCAATCGTCTTTCACAAATATTCCATTTATATACATTTTTGCCATCATATTACTAGCACCTAATTTTATGACTTGATTTTTAATTCGTTAACCTGCTTTTGTTGGTAACCGTTTTCATCTGGCTGCAGCTGCATGACGTCTTGCGAATGTACATTTGCTTATTGAAAATGATTAGATTTGGGATTTCCGTAACAATATAATGTATAACCGTAGCCAGTAAATATTATAAATAAATAAATAAACATTTGATCAGTTAATCGGAGAATGCCTTTTGTACATTGAGATCGTAGTGTTTATGTACCTTCGCCTCGCAAGTGAGACTATCTCTAACGGCGATTAAAATATCTACACTTACCATAATAGCCAGCAATTTTAATGCAAGCAGTGGCTGGAAAGAGACCATCACGACCCTTACGTCCGCCCATGCATGGTGATTCCAATATCGCGGTTGAATAATTATTATGAAAAGGATCATCGCAAGCTTTGTTGGCTCCATTGTATGAAACACACTTAAAGCAATCGATGCTTTCAACTGTCAATAGAAAAATAAAAATTATGAGATATAAAAACATAAATAAAAAACATTGAAAAAATATTGATAGCCATTGCATGGATAAGCTTGTGCTTGCACTTACCACTCATAGTCATTAATAGTATGATGATAGAGAGGCAGCCAATAGTGGTTAAAGACCATAAGTTAAAAGGCAGCATGTTGTAGATATAAACAACGACTTTAGCTCTCTCTCTCTCTCTCGCTCTCTTCCTTTCTCTTTCTCTTTATATATAACTTTTTGGCTATTTGCCGACGTAACACTAAGCAAAGTCTATAGTACGGTCCTATAAAATGGTTTGTTGATGATGATTACAGTAGTATTGCTTAGACTGCTGGAGCTGCTTTGTGTAACAACTATGGCGATGCTGTCGTTTGTTATCGCAATAAAGATGCCAATGATATAAGAGATAATCCAATGCAGGGGCTTTTGTTGCTATGATTGAAATACGAGTACTACTACTACCGCTACTACTGCTACTACTACTATTTGCAATATTTTGATGATAAAATTTTAATGCAATTTCTACTGTAGCGTTACGCATGGCTTTCAACAAAATGAAAAAACTTTAAATTTTTAGAAAATTTCAAATCATTTCTCTATTAGGCATAATATATTTCTTTCGTTTTTGCATTTCTTCGTCTTATGTCTACATTAATTTATGGGTAACTGCATGATTTTGGTAATTAATCGAATCTGTAACGAATAAACAAAAAAAAAAAAAACAAAAATATACATAAATAAATTTTCATTTTACTGCTCTGATTATTCTTGTAGGCTCGTAAAATATCGTTATATTATTCAAAGAATCGTTTAAATTCTGCATACAAGAGTTTATATATATTTCTTTATATATTTATGAATATATATATATATATATATATATATATATATATGCTTGTATATATGTTTATAAAAAAAACGTGCTTAAAATCGCATGAACTTCATTTACTCTTTTTCCTTTTTCATTTTTCAGTTTTCTTTTTTTTTTACCAAGAGTCAAACCGACGGAAACATAGGGTTTTTGATAGGATCAATGACAAACATGAAGAAAGTGAATGGGGGGAAATGAGAAATAAATACGAAAAATAGTTTCATTGTAAATATTACAGCACACGAAACGATACAGAAACAAGTGAGAAAATTATATGTGTGGGCTGTGACCGAATCTTTTGTACGCATCATTGTCGCTATCCTAAAATCAGACTGAAAAGCCGAAGAAAATAAAATTTCTTAATATTACCTTTCCGTTGCCCTTTGAGCCGATATTTTCGTATTTCCGGACAGGAGAGTATTTAATCCAGATACTACTACTACTACTCATTGGACAGACGGACAGATGAGCAGAGGAGCATGTTTAAATGCATTCCGGATTTGACTTGCTCTAAAACTTTTTACACGTTACAAAGGTTTCTGAAAAAACGACTATACCACTTATCCCTTGGTAATGGTTATAAAATCATAGTAGGAAGGTTTTTAACAACAACTTTTCAAGCCGAAGCCATTAATGTTCTTAATGTTGAAGGAAAGTCTTATTGGTTTATTTGTTAAGCAATGAAATTTACGGGTTTATTGTGGAAGAGTAAATAATTGCTAAGGAACAACAAGTTAAATATTTTTTATATACAAAATACTGATTTTTATGCACCGAATGGTTTTTCTCGAAATCTTTGAAATTTTTTATGTGCCATAAAATATTTGATGTCGACAAGAAGTACACATCAATAAAATTTTTTATTTCTTTTCATTTATCCGAAATTTAATTAAAAATTTGTTATGTTTGTTCTCTTTTTGGAATTTTATAATATTTTTCCAAGAAAAGAAAATGAAAATTTACCAAAACGTATACTTAATTTAATTAGTTATTTTTTACGTTTAAAGAAGAAAGATGTTTTTTTTTTTTTGCTTTTTTTAGAACATAAGTTTGACCGATAAGTAAGACACCAAAGAACAGAAACACCCGCCATAAACAAAAAGAAATCCTTTTAATTTCTCATTGAAGAAACCTTCAGGCGAACTAACATCAAATTTCACGATATTCGGTGAATACGCTCTTGACAGCTGTAGAAAAAAAAAAAATTCTAATTTCTTTCTTTTACAAAGGAAAAGCGCGAGTTTCGCGATACGATTGAATACTATTTTTGCACCTTACAACATTTGTGGTGTATAAAGTTTGTTCGAATGTACACAACACCCAGAAAATCTTGAAACAGTCCCACTATTTATTATGCCCATCGATTCAGCAACAGTTTTTGGATCGATTTAAACTTGTCTGCCCGGCTGTTCGTTATTTTGTCTTTGACCTACAGGTCACAATTTTTGAGATATCTTGATGACCAATCAGCTGAATACAAAAGTGAAAGCTAAATTTTTCATAAGTGATTACCCTCCCGAATTGAGTGACTGGAACGGCTTCCCTTCGTATCGTTCAGGCAAAGAAAATGTGCTGTCTGCGAATGCTCAGATTTTGTTGTTCAAAAAAAATAATTTCACTATACATGTTGCTTTTACGATCGCTTATTGTTGGCAGATGTCCAGGTCCTATCACACATTTACATCCTCTACGCTGATGGCATTAGGGCCATCTATGGGCAACACGGGTTGAGCGTACATCTGCGCGTAGCATCAAAAGAATGCATGTTTGAAAGAAGGAAAATGCTCCAACAGAAACAAAATCGATAACGTTGGCGGGTAGAGTTACTTTAAGTCCATTTTGGGATGCATATGGCGATGATGATCGGAAAGAAGTGAGGATTGAGATATAAGAATTGATCACCGGTACCGACCGAACGTTTACTGTAGGTACGACCAGATGCCAATCGTAAATAAAATATGGTTTACCGCACTAAAAATTGAATACGAGTATGTTTATATATATATATATATATGACGTCTGCACTTTTTAACTGCTTGCATTTACTCAATATTTGTGAGCGCAACATGAAATCTTCCTCGTTTTATGTTGCTCACGACAATTGAAAAATATATCTCAATAATTTAAAGAAATATTTTCGAAAATCATCCACGCCTATCCCAAGAATTTAAGTTAAGCCAAATTTTCCTTGCAATTCCCTTACTGTAAACATTTGCGTACAAACAAAGTGGTCGCTCTAGATAAAATGACTGCCACAGTTTGAATTATAGAAAGTTCTCAGAATATCGCTAATGGATGTTCAGAAGATCTACAATCTACGCAGCTATTACTCGGCATCCAGTTTGTACTTACTTTAAATCTCTTTAGATTATGGCTTGACTTTACAAAGCGCAAAATCTGAAAATTTATACCCCGTTATACTGATATTAATGAATCTATTTATTTATCCTTCTCTTTCTTTTCCTCCTTATTTTTTCCTTATCATCACTGTTATCTTTATACCCTACACCATTCGTAGTAAAGGCGTATTAAGATAGTGCGGGCGTATGTAACAGGCAAACCAATCATAATCTCAACTGAGCTAAGCCTATCGGTCCGTCTGTCCGTTTGAAGTGTGGCCATGTAAATTTGTGTTCAAGGTACAGATCACAATTTTTGAAATATTAGTACAGTGACGTGTTTTGATTTAAAGACGAACGCTGTTGAAAATGGTTCGTACCGGTCGCCATATAACGATCTATTTTGAAAAGTCTTTGTATGGAAAAAAAATTCAATTTTCGAAATTTCTCGGCAAAAATGGCTAAGTAATCGTAGTAATATTTTGACATTTTCAATTGATATGAAAACTTTGGACGGGCTGGAGTAATTTTTGAACCCTCTCTCTAATATAACGAAAACTGGAGTTTCAATGATTAACTGTACCAAATTTGGATTATCTCGGTCTAATTTTTGGATCCTAGCGATTTCCACGAAAATCGATCCTTTGTAGAGCAGAAAAGTTTGAGTTTTAATATGTGGTAATGAAAATTGACCCATAATAGTAATTGCATATAAAAATAAGAACTGTGTTAGACAACGGGCTTAATCGCCCGCCTCGCCCGACTGTAATGTTCTTATTTGTTTTTTATGGCATAGATGGGGGGACAATATCTACCTTTCTCACATCAAATTTTTGTGAAATTCCTAGCTTTTGAGTGTAAGGTGTTCAATGGTAAACCTTGCCCGACTATAATGTTAAATTTGTTTATTATTACAAATATGTTCGCCTGTAAATATTTAAACAAATCCATTTTATTTGATTAACAATTACAACAAAATTTTTTTCGATCATCGCGGCAAACAGGACAAAAAGTTACCTCAGATAGAGTAATAAAATACATCTCGCAAAGCAAACAAATACACGATGTGAACGAAACAAACTGATGATATCTAATTATTTACCGACTGTTAATGTTGCACCCTTTTACGTACGGATTCGTTTTCCTACACTCATGGCCGTTGTATGCGTGTGAATGAATGAATAAAAACGTTTACGCTTTTCACTGTCACATTGTTTAACAATGTTTTAATGTAAATAATTATATGTATACAACACTTAAAGAGTCTGTGCGCGAGAGAGTATCTAAACACACTTTCTAATTACTTTCTATGAACGTTGTGACACATTCATTCACTTACACATGCGTTTACATTACGTCAATGTTGATTTATATATTTTATGTTCGGCTAAAGTCGTTACTTTTACATCTCAAACGAACACACCGAGCTTATTGTGCGTGCATGACGTGTTCATAAGAACAAATAGGGCAAACAATCCTACTAAGGCATCCTGTTTAGCAAATGAAGGCAACTTTTACAGTTAACACAAATTTCCGGCATAGCGGCGAATAAAAAGTAATTCACACTCAATTATAAATTCACATAGGTAAGGCCTGGAGTTAGTTCGCTGATGTGTATTCCAGAGGTTCAGAGCTTCCAGAAGTGAAGCGTGATGTTTGGTTTTTCTCTTCGTTTTCTTTGAAGCTCAATATGACGCCTCTTTTGTTTAACCTGGTAATACGTTTCTTTTAGGGTTAAATCTTTGTCCCGGTCCGTTTTTTGGGCTAAACGCCTTGCCTTTTGATGTTACCAATCGGTTCTATAATCCAATTCCAAATCAGCTGTTTTTGCTTCCGGCAGGATTACTTACGTTCTACGCTACTATATATAAATCACGAGATCAAACCTGCTTGTAGGATTGTTGTTTTCCCTATTCGGAAAGATTATCTTCCCAGGGTGTGCATCAAGGCTCCTCCAGGCGTCCTAAAGTCTGACATGTACTTTCCCCGCTTGAATAAAGAGCCCTTCTACCTCGTAAATGTTAAAACTATATTCTGTTTTATTAATTGGCTTAGTGATACTAATATGAGGAATAGGTCGGATAAGTCTTCTATCGAAATATCTCCAGTTCGGGATTTATAGTGCGTAGTTCAAGCAGGTGACGACGGACATTTCCACTGTCGATGGTGTGTTGTCTTGTTGGTCGATCCTCTAATTGATACCTCGATTCGCATATAGTTAGTGTGGCCAATCGTTTAACTGATCACACTCGAAATATGTCAGCTGACTTCGTATTCCTTCCCACGTCATTTCAATCCCGACTTATAATGCGCAGCCACAGTAAATACTTAAAAATACAACTACGGCAAATAATAGAGTAATGAAATATGCCTACGTAATCAAATAAGCCTAGCGACTTTGGGTCTTACAAGCCGGTTTCAAAACTTGCATGCAACTTTGCTTCTCTCAATGGAAACGTTATCTACCTGAGTGCACGAGTAGA